TATATTACATGATTATTTAATTGGTCTAAATCATATTTTATATATTTTGTTGCAGACTTTCCTTTTACCTTTCCACAATCTATTTCATGCGATAAATCAATAACAACTACAATACCAACAAATTCTGACCACATATATATTTCAAATTTGAAATCAAATAAAAAACAGGCATTAAAAAATTCATCAACAACAATTTTATCAAATAAGTTACCAGTTGTTCATTGGAGACCTTTATTGTCAGAATTATGGTTAAAAGAAAAATCCTTTTCTGAAACATTATCGAGAGAAGAATTGTTTGTGAAGGAACGAAGGAGGCTAGCCTTACAAGGAATTGCTAGCTATCAATTCGATCCAATCGGTTGTCAAATTCTTTTCAGTTATGGCAGTGGAATATATTTAGGACATATTGGCGAGGTGATTTGTTGATTTATAAAAAAAGCTTTATTAATCATTTGAAAAATTAGTGATATTAATTGCATAACAAATTTTATATAGAATGGTGAATTTAATCCCATACCAATAACGCCTCGTTCTAGCTCTATAATATTTTCTGGAAATTCAATGAACTTTTCCCAAATTAGTCACTCACCACATCACAACAATTTATCACCAATCACTTCTCCTTCAACAACCTCTTCTTCCTCCTCTTCACCGCCACCACCTCTCCCTTCTTTCTTCAAAAATTACTTCAATTTGGGACATGTAGAATTCATCATATTTTCCTTCGCTTTCTTGATATTCAGATAAGCTCATAAAGATCCTAATGGGAATTCTTACCATAGCCATTCGTTTTTGCGGTCGATCAAGAAACTGAACCCACACACTTGATATATTTAAAAATAAGACATCTTCAACAAATTTATATATTGTTGTTATTATTATTATTTTTAAAACAAATCTGCGCACCTATTTCCATTAGAACACCAGCCAAATCGAACAATATATTCCATCCACGGGAAAAGTTTATCCAACGTGGCGCAACCCCATAGTCTTTTATGAACAGGACCATGTGCGGGATCCTTTAAAAATTCGTCAATTCAATTACATGATATATCATAAAATTCACTTAGCAAAGACATGTAAAAACAATGACCTCGTCTTCGTAATAACGCGGTGAAAATTCTACAATCTGTAAATCGCTCACTGCATTAAGTCTACCTAATTAATTATTTTATGATATTTAGACAATTGACAAAATAAAAGGCTTATATAATATAATATTACAATA